GCGAATAAGGACGGGTGGGGCCCGCGCCCCCTTACAAATAATGGTTGCTCAGTTACTCGCTGAGGGCCCCCTGAGCAAATCCCGCCTCGCTGGGAGGGGGGCCCAGACGACAGTAACAATCACTAAAGCGATCGAGCACTCTTTTCTGAGCAAGAGACGCGGGGGCTGGCGCAGCCCCCATGTATCCTGACATCTGGTTGAGGGCCCTCGCAGCATCGTTAGCCCAACTGACTGAATGCTGGAGGCGAAGGCGGCGACGGCGCACGGCCCTGCAGACACTCGCTGGAGCATCGGAGCGGGGGCCGAGGAGAGGAAGCGGGAAGACATCTCTCTGCCGATAGTCGCCGGCAGAACGGGGATTCAAATTATCCCGGCAAAGCAACCTAACAGCGATGTGTAGAAACATATATGAAAGCATTCCCCTTAAGATTCAAATGAAAATCCAGTTGTAGAATTCTGCTGTTCTCGCAGTCGTAGTCGCATTCGCGATGACAGTCGCAGCGGCGACGGCAGTCGCAGTCACAGCCTCAGCCTCAGCCTGCCTCAGCCTCAGCCTGCAGCCTGCCTCAGCCTCAGCCTGCCTCAGCCTCAGCCTCAGCCTGCTTCAGCCTCAGCCTCAGCCTCAGCCTGCCTCAGCCTCAGGCCTCAGCCTGCGCCTCAGCCTCAGCCTGCCTCAGCCTCAGCCTCAGTCTGCTTCAGCCTCAGCCTCAGTCTGCCTTCAGCCTCGGCCTCAGCCTCAGCCTGCCTCAGCCTCAGCCTGCCTCGGCCGCAGCATCAGCCTGCCTCAGCGTTCAAAATGTGGCCCGGGAGTTGAGTTCTGGGAACTCGAAGACCACGAAGTGGCCTACAGTTGGCTCCGGGCACCCAAAATATAGCCCGGGAATGGAGTTCTGGAAGCTCGAAGACCACGAAGTGGCCTACAGTTGGCTCCGGGCATCCAAAATGTGGCCCGAGAATGGAGTTCTGGGAACTCGAAGACCACGAAGTGGCCTACAGTTGGCTCCGGGCATCCAAAATGTACGCCGGGAGTGGAGTTCTGGGAACTCGAAGACCACGAAGTGGCTTACAGCTGGCTCCGGGCATCCAAAATGCACACCAGGGATGGAGTTCTAGCAGCGCCAAGAGCGATTTTGCGAGGATGTCCCAAGCGATTTGGGATTCGGCGGCAGCCGATCCGGGTCCCGCCCCGACCCCCCTATGGAGTCATCTGCTGCTCTCTTTTGAGACCACTAGAAACCTATCAGCAAAAGCTGTTAAGTAAAAATCACTCGAGCCCGGGTCCCCAACTCCCGGGCCCGGGAGTAAATCACGTCCCATCGCCGGGCCCTGAGCCATCCTTGCCGCCTTTCTTGGCGCCTTTCTTGGCCAGGGCCCGCTCCTCTCGCGCCTTGCGGCGCTCCTTGGCGATCTCGTACTCCTTCGAGAGCTGAACCTTCACAGAGTCAGCCAGCTGGCGGCTCACGCACACGCATCCTCGGATCATGTCCGCCCCCATGTACAGATGGTTGTCGGCCACACTGTCCGACCCCCCAGCCAGCCTATCACGGTATCGTTCTTCCTGCGCCTGAATGATACGGCACAGCGATTCGGCACTAGCCAGGTTGGTGGCCATGAGCTGATCGTAGAAAATCATCTGCTCCAACATCCGACAAGCTCGCTCGTGTTCGTCGACCCCCACGTTGGATGACGACAACCTGGCCTCGGTCCGCAATCGCATGTGACGGCCCATAGGGCTTCCACCACTCTGTTCCATGAACTTCAGCACCCGCAGGACGGTACGAGAGCCTCGAACTGGCCAGTCGGGCCACGCGTCCTCCCGCATCATCAAGATGGCGCCCCGGAAGGCACGGTGGCGGTTGCCCTGCGTGTCGAGGGGCACGGGCTGCACGCGCGCATCGCTGATGCCCTGAGCCGCCGCGGGAGCAGGTGCAGCACCGGGGAGCGGGGCCGCGGCGGCGGCAGCTGGCGCCAGGGCCAGAGCTGGCGCCGCCATCGCGGGGGCGCCGGCGAGAGCCACAGGGCCCGCGGCGCCCGCGGGGGCCAGGCCTGGCGCCGCGGCTGCTGCGGGCGCAGGTGGCGCCATGGCAGGAGGCAAAAGGCCCCCCCCCCGGCGCTGCAAGGGCGGCTCCCCCAGCGGCCAGCGCAGCCACGGGGACGAGCCCTCTACCCGGTGCTAGGCCGTCGGCCGCGCCACCTGCTCCACCGCCTGCCGCAGGCGCACCTCCAGGCGCTGCGGGCGCGGGCACGGCCAGGGCCGCCGCCAGGCCAGCCACTCCTCCGGCAGCACCGTCTCCGACGGCCCCGACAGCTCCTGCAGCGGGCATCGGCATTCCAGCGAAACCTGCACGGCCGACTGAGTTCACCGCGAAGCCTGGGCGCAACGGCAAGCCGAAGCGGACTGCAGCCGCATCACGAAGCCCCTGCATCGCCGCAGGCAGCGGCACATTCCGAAACCTGTGCACGTGGTCAGCTCCGATGGGTCCAGCATCGCGGCCAAGCGCCCCACCCTCCAAGATCGCGAACTCCTGGATGTCGCCTCCTGCTGACAGATCCTCTTCATATTGATCACTGTCCGGGGTCAGAATGCTGATGATTGGCTGGACCCCAGGAGGAATCACGAGGATGATCCTTTCGTGCCAGATCCGAGGCCCAGCCACTCCGTAACGTACGGCGATCACGTCGCCCTCCTGTAGGCCCAGCTGTGCCAAGGGATTCGCCATCAGCTCACACGGTGCGCTGCCTGACTGCGGCTACGAAATCGGGCGGCTTGCTCACGGGCAATGTCCTCGATCGAGGGGGGGATGCCTATCTTGGGCGCGTCGCCGCCGCTGGCCTTCTGGTCACAGCGGCGCCCAGCCGCGAAGCTGGCCGCGCCTACGAGGCCCAGGCCGAGCACGAACCACACCCACGGGAAAGGGCAGCTGCACTCCACGGGCACCAGCTCCTTCGCAGCCTCACCTGGGCCGCACACCAACTGGGGCGAGCAGTAGCAGTCGGGGCAGGGCGGCGGCGGCCGCGATAGCCCCCAGACCACGGCAGCAGTCTGCGCCGCCCGCGCTACCTCAGCCGTCAAGGCCTCGGCCAGCGCCTGCATGCGCGCGCGGGGCTCTGGGACCGACCACCCCCTCAAGAGCTTGAGCCGCGTGCCACGGATAGCACACGGGACTGTGAATTCTCACGTGCGGCATCCTTGCGGCCAGACCCTCCTGTGCTTACAAATCTAAAATCAACCATACTCTCCCTCTTCCCCTGATGGCGTCCGGGTGATGGCCGCGCACCCTCCGCGTACTGTTTTTTACACACAGGATGCCCGGGAAATCCCGGGAAACGACTCTCGCTGAGGCGCCGGCGTCATTTTTTCCCAAAATGCTGCTCTCGTTGAGGCGCCGGCCTCATTTCTGCCCCCGAATCGTTCCGAATCGTGCTCCCGCTGCAGCGTGGGCCTCATTTTCGGATCGGTGTTTGGCCTCCGTCGTTCAGGATGGCGTTCTCGCCCCAGCGCGGGCCTTTTTCTCGCGCGCCCATCCGCCCGCCACCACCGCGCCGCACCACCACCACCACCACCACCACCACCACCCCACCAGCACCAGCACCAGTACCACCACCACCACCACCACCACCACCACCACCACCACCACCACCACCACCACCACCACCACCACCACCACCCACCACCACCACCACCACGACAACCACGCACACACGCACGCACGCACGCACGTGCACCACCACCCACTACGCACGCGCGCGCGGAGCCACAGGTCCGCTACGACACGCGTCCGCGGATAGAGAAAATCAGCGCCATGGTAAGGGATGGGAGGGAGGGGTAGGAGGACGTCAGATATGACGCGAGCGCACCTAGCTTGTCCTCCTCCCTCTCCTCCTCCTCCTCCTCCTCCTCCTCCTCCTCCTCCTCCTCCTCCTCCTCCTCCTCCTCCTCCTCCTTCCCTCCTCCAAGATATGGTGGTGGTGGTGGTGGAAAACAGGCCCATCACGGTGGGCGAGAGCGGGAAAGAGGAGGACAGAAACGCAGGAGCAGGCAGAGAGATGGAGGAGGAGGAGGAGGAGGAGGAGGAGGAGGAGGAGGAGGAGGAGGAGGAGGAGAAAGGAGGAGGAGGAAAGGCCTCCTCCTCCTCCTTCTCCTCCTCCTCCTCATCGTCCTCCTCCTCCTCTCTCCCCTCTCCCCCCCTCCTCCCTCCTCCCCCATCTCCTCCTCCTCCTCCTCCTCCTCCTCGAGGAGGGCGGGAGGGAGAATGGAAAGAGGGAAGGGGGGGCGGAAGAGACAGAGGCCATGGGTAAGATGGAAAGGGACATGACCGGGCCCGACTGGACTCACCATGGACACCATCAGTGGCGTGGTTGGAAGGAGGGAGGGGCAGCTGGAGGAGGAAATGGACAGAGGGAGGATGCGGGAGGGAGGGAGGGAGACAAGGATCAACGCAGGTTTGGGAGGGTTATGCCCTACGCCGTGATGAGTGCCAGAAATGTCACCAGTCCCGATCTCAAAGAGGCCAGGCTCACGCTGTCCTTGAGGTGGACCCCAAGACCATAACCCCAATGCCAATGGGCCCCCCTTTGTCATAGGGGTGGGACTCACTCGGTCGCCCCCGGGCGAGAGGGAAGGATGGAGGCGGAAGGAAGAGGGAGAAGGGACAGAGAAAGAGAAAAGAGAAAGAAGAGGGAGGATGAGGGAGGGAGGGAGGAAGAGAAGATGAGGGAGGGAGGGAGGGGGGAGGTTAGGAGGAGGGATGCATGAGGGAGGGGGGAGAAGGCTCAGGGATGAGGAGAGAGGAGGAGGGAGGAGGAGGGAGGAGTAAGGGAGGGAGGGAGACATGCGGCAGGGAGGAAGGAGGAAGGCAGGCAGGGAGGGAGGGGGGAGATGAAGGGATGGACGAGCGAGGCAGGGACGGAGAAGCAGGGAGAAAGGATGAGGAGAGGTGGAGGGAGGAGGAGGGAAGAGGGGGCAGGGAGGGAGGACGAGATCCCCCAGCCCCGCCCGCCTCGCGCCTCGCGGCGGCGTGCCCGTGGCCACCGCCGCCGCGGATATCCTCGGAATTTGCGCGGCGCGCCCCTCTTCGGGGATCTGCTGACCCGGGTCAATCCAAACCCGGGTCAGTCAGGCATTGCAAGATCCTGCAAAATCCTGCGAGCTCCTGCGCGCAAGCCCGGGTCAATACAGCCCTGGCCCTGCTTGCCGTCGCTCGGACGTCTACTTCCCGTGCATTTTTCAGTTTCGTGCGTGTTCTTTTTGCTCGATGGTCCAGGATGGTCCTCGATGGTTCTCGCCGAGAAAACATGCACACGTCCGAGCGATGCCAAGCTGCAGGATCCTGCAGGATCCAGCGCCCTGGCTGACCCCCGCTTGCATTGACCCCTGTCTCTTGAGCCCCGACGGCTGGGAGGTCCTGGGCCTCCGAGGGGGGGGTGCCTCGGAGGAATCTGAAGGGGTCTTTATACACACAAATAAATACACACAAATAACAGGATTCCCCATATGTTCCCATATTTTTTCTGGGTTTCTGTCTTCACCCCCACTTCCCATGTTTTCCTATATTTTCTGGGAATCGACGGTTCATTGTGTCTGTGTGCTTTTCTCCCCTCCTGAGAATCGCCACGATCGTTCCCCAAAACGGTCATAATCGTTTACTGTCGGGCCATACCTCGGGTGTCTGGCGGCCGCTCCGGACGATGCGGACACCCCCTGGAGTGCTCTCGGCGAGGCGCAACCGCTGGAAGGTAGCCCTCACGAGCGGCGAGCATCTCTGCATCGGCGCCCCCGCGCTCTGGCTTCAGGGAGCGGCCCCGCGGATGCGCAGTCGCACGGGCACGTTCCGCACGGGGCATCCGCGATGGAACGCCCAGTGCGGGGTCGGATATCAATGCGCAGGAGGAGGCCTCTGGAACCCCACGTCAAGCCCTATCTCCTATTGCACAGTCCCCTTTTCCCAGACATCGCCATGTCAACAAGTGGGCGCAACATGTGATGCGGTCCGTCATCGTCGTGCCGTGAACTCCTCTGTACCTTACCACTGCGAAGCCGCTGTGAACATCCCACACATTCCCCAGATAAGTGCAACGAAACCTATATATATATATATGTATATATATATAATATCTATGTATATATATATATATGTATATATCGGCCGGGCATCTGGGATGTCTAACTGACTTGAGCTCGCAAGATCACATGTCAAACCCCACGTCGGTCCAGCATCCATACGGCAATGCCGAGCCCCAAGCTCGTTGCGACGATGTCGCGCTTGGTGGGAGCAGCGTACCTTAATCGCTATGCAAAAGCAGCATGCGGCTGAACAAGAAGACTGACAACAGATCTCTCACACAAGCAACGCGGAACAACCCAGACTCAAATCGAGAAGCAAACAGACGCAACACGAACGCGAGAATATCCGCCGACGCCGATGGTGCCTTGCCAGTCCGAACGTCCCCTGTCACATACATCTACACTGCCAGGCTCAGGGTCTGCGATAGAAGTCCGGGGCGTCGAAGGGGGGGACCAAAACACACGTCAGAAGAAGAAGAATAATGGGCATGACATCCAGGAGGAATTCGTGGCCCCGGCCATACCCCACCCCCCAACCCCCAGTTCACATCACCCCCCCCCCCTCTTGGACGACCCGCCACAGTTCTCGGCGAGGCGCTGGGGGGGACATGCGAGGGGGCAGAACTTCTCTGAGGAGGCAACGAACAATTTACAATACAAACTTCTGCTGTCTGGGACGCCCGCCCCCGGGGCAACTGCAAAATTTCTACCTGTACGGTGCCACGTCAGAGTGAGGGAAGCGAACGGTCATTCACTGTCCCTGGGCGCGCGGCTGACATGGGCTCCCGCGTTGCACATTGCTGTTGTTGTTGTTCCTGTTGCTGTCGTTGTCGTTGTTGTTGAACATTATTTCTTCTTAAGAATAATTATTGTTGGGACCCCTGGTGCACGACCCCCCCGCCGCGCCTAGGCCGCAGCCTCATTTTCATCATTTTCGTGAGGAAGTCTCAAGCAAAACGGGGGAGTCCGGATCCGGTTGTGTTGTTACGATCGGTTTTCCCTTGCAAAAAAAAAAACTAAAGTGGACATTTCTTGTTCTAACATAACCAACTTCAAGAATCCCTTGCAAAAAATGAGGTAAAGTGGACATTCGCGCGCGCAAGACGAAATCCTTCCAAAACCTTAGTTTTCGTAGCGATTTTAACATAAAAACATCAAAAAACAATGGTTTTTCAACAAAAAAATGTCAAAATTCATCCCGCGCGCTCTTGCGGATTCGTAGGAAACCCAACACTTTTTAATCATTTCTGTCAAACGGGCTTTTGCGAGCAACTTTTTCGAACTTCTGCAACAACGGTTGCGCACCTGCCAGGGCCATCATCCCTGTCAAATAATACCATGCGGGACACATTCGTTTTTTCTTCGCGCGCGCACGCCGTCGTCGTCGGCCGCGGGGCCCTGAATAGTAGCCACGGTCGTCCGCATGCCACGAAGTGAAGTGTCCGAACGTCATAGGGCGGGAAGCTGGGTGTGGGTGGTGGCGAAGAGTCGTTTGGAAATTTGGTAGAGCTTGAACCGGCCCCCCCACAAAGTGGGGGTATTGCCCGCCTCCTATGAAAACCCTGGCACTGGTGAGAACGGTGTGTCCCCACGTGCTAGTAATTGTTGTTGTTGTTGTTGTTGTTATTGTTGTTGTTATTGTTGTTGTTTGTTTGTTTGTTTGTTTGTTGTTGTTGTTGTTGCTGCAATTGACCCTTCACTGCTGAAGAATAGTTATTGTTGATCCCCCCACCTGGTGCACATTTGTTTGTTCAATTGAAGTGCCCCTCCCGGGGCTCGCACCAGGTGTCTTATCAAGGAAGGTTGTCCTTATCAATCTGGGCCCCTGGCCCCTGGCTTACGACAACAACGGTTCCCGCCTGATATTCCCTCACAATTTAGCCAGGAACCCCGCTCCCGCCCGAGAGTTCTTCGCAATGTATATACGAATCGCACTCTCGCTTGGGACTTCTTTACAATTTATGCAGAAATCGTTGTCGGCGCTCTGGAATCGCGCACTCGTTGGAGACTCGCTTGCAATTTACTCAAATATCGCGCCCTTGCGTTGGAATTTCCCGCAATTTACTCAAGCGCCGCGCTCCCGACATTCAGGCACCCAGGAGTCGTGCTCACGCGTAGGACCCCCTCACAAACTACTTAGGAATCGGAATCTCGCTGCCGTTCGTGGCCACGTTGCAGCAGTTGGCCCCCTGGCTGCCCTTCGAGAACCCGACGCAACCCTTCGTGCCCCCTCTCGCTGACCTTCGTGGCCCTGTTGCAGCCCTTCGTTGCCCTTCTGTGCCTTTCGAGAACCCGTTGCAGCCCTTCGAAGAAACCTCGCTTTGTTTCGCGGCCCCGCTGCAGCCCTTCGGGCCCCCCCCGGCTGCCCTGTGTGACCCTCGTGGCCCCGTTGCAGCCCTTCGTGGCCCCCTCGCTGCCCTTCGTGGCCACGTTGCACCCCTTCGTGGCCCCCTCGCTGCCTTTCGTGGCCCCGTGGCAGTCCTTCGTGGCCCCCTCGCCGCCCTTCGTGGCCCCGTTGCAGTCCCTCGTGGCCCCTTTTCTTCCCTTCGTGGCCCCGTTGCAGCCCCATATCTGTATGCCTTTCGTGGCCCCCGCTCGTTCGCGTTCGTCGCGGCCCCATATGCATGCCATTCGTGGCCCCGCTGTCGCCCTTCGCGGCCACCTCGCTGCCCTTCGTGGCCCCGTTGCTGCCCTCAGTGGCCCCGTCCTTGCCATCCGCGGCCCAATATACGCATGCCTTTCGTGGCCCCCGCTCGTTCGCGCCCGTCGTGGTCCCATGTGCATGCCCTTCGAGGTCCCGCTGTCGCCCCTTGTGGCCCCCTCGCTGTCCTACGTGGCCCAGTTGCTACCCTCAGTGGCCCCGTCGTTGCCTTCCGTGGCCCCGCATTATCTGCCATTCGTGGCCCCCACTGGCTCGCGCTCTACATGGCCCCATACGCATTCCCTTCGTGTCCCCGCTGTCGTCCTTCGCGGTCTACTTCGTGCCCTTCGTGGCCCTGCTGTCGTTCTCTCTCTCTCGCTTTCGCTTTCGTTTGTCGTCGTCGTCGTCGCCGTCGTCGTCGTCATCGACGTCGTCGTCGTCGTCGTCATCGTCGTCGCGGTCGGTCCCCAGTCCGTCCCCGTTGGGGTCGGGCTGCCGCCGATCAGCGCTGCCGTTGGCCAGGCCGACAGTCCGCGGCCGCCCCGCCGCTTACCGGGGCCCAGCCTGCATGGAAGAAAAGTATACCCCCCAAAAGGGGCACGATCGAAGACGGGGAGGGCGGGTATCGAGGGTTTGGGAAATACGCGTTAACGGACATTCGAGGAAATAACAGCAAACAATCTCAAAATGATTAGTGTTGTTGTTGAACTCTCACAACTGATCCCCCCCGCCAAATGCTCATTGTATTTTTCAATTGAAATGCCGTCCCGGCGCTCGCACCCGGTTTTTTATTAGGGGAAGTCGTCCTCTTCAAACTGGGCCCCTGGCCCCCGGTTCACAACAACAACAACAACAACAACAACAACAACAACAACAACAACGGCATTCGCTTGATACTTCACTCTGGTCCCCCTCTCCTGCTTGATGCTTCCTCGCAAGAGACTCAAAAATCGCGCTCCCGCCTGAGATTACCTCGCAATTTACTCAAGCGCCGCGCTCATGCCATTCAGAAATCGCGCGTTCGCTGGGGACTTCTTTAAATTTACTTAGGAATCGTTCTCTCGCTGGAAAATTCCTGGCCAATCACACAAAACTGACGATCGATCCGCCCGGTTTACAACGATAGTAGCGGTTCCGCGTGCTACTTCCTCACAGTGTGCAGTATGGGCTCTCGCGCGGAACTTCCTCACAATTCATGAAAGAATCAAGCTCTCGCGTAGTAGCCCCTTCTGAATTTATTCCGACGCCGCGCCTTCGACACTCAGAAATCAAGCTCTCGCTGTGGATACCCCCACGATTTACTTGGTAATCGCGCTGTCGCTCGAGACTTCCTCGCGTTTCATGCAAGACGTTCGCTTCATCAACCCGCCTGGTGGACCTGTCGACCTGGCCGCCTGGGCCCACTTTCCCTACCCGCCCGTAAGGGTTTGTCCGCCCGATCTGCCCGTCTGATTCTGCTACGTGTTTTCTGGTCCTAGCTCCCCTCCTGCGAATTGCTCTCATGCTCCATCCTCCTTCATATCTCTTGTCCCTTCTTTTCATCCGTCCTCCCCTCCCCTGCCCCAGGGGCTGCACGAAATACACGCAGCAGGAAAGAACGATATAGAGACCCCTCAGGGGGCACGATCGAAGACGAAGAGGGCGGGTACCGAATTTTCGGGAGATACGTGTTGCATGGCACGCAAGCCGATAAGAGCGAACAGTCTTAAAATGATTGTTCTTGTTGTTGTTGTGGTTGAATTCTCATTCTTGAACGAGAATGTTGCGGATCCCTCCCCCGCACAGGTGCACAAAATATATATCGGGAGTATTTGCCTGCTCAGACCAGGCCCCCGGCCCCCGAATTACAACAACAACGGTTCCCGCCTGATACTTCCGCACAATGTATTCCGAAATCGAGCTCTCGCGCGGGACGTCCTGACAATGTGTGTAAGCATCGCGCTCTCGCGCGGGACCTCCTCACAGTGTATTCAAACGCCGCCTTGCCGCCTGGGCCCGCCTTCCCGACCCGCCCACAAGGGTCTGCCCGCCCGATCGGCCCGTCTGGCTGTGCCACGTGCTTTCTGCTTCTAGCCCCCCCTGCAAATTTCTCTCGTGTTCCGTCCTTCTCCCTGTCCCTTCCATCCTTCCTCTCTTCCCATGTGTTTAGGCGCTGCGCTGCATGCGCGTGGCAGGTAAGGAAGATATACACCCTACGAAATACCCCAAGGGGGGACGATGGTACCGAGGGTTTGGGCTATGCGTGTAGCGTGGTACGCGAGCATATCGGAACGAACGATATAAACATGTTTGTTGTTGTTGTTGAACCCTCACTACTGAAAAATATCAGCCAGCGTTGATTCCAAATAGGTAGAAGGATAAGAGGAGGACGAGAGGAGGATGGGAGGAGGACGACAGGAGGACGGGAGCAGGACGGGAGGACGGGAGGAACAACATCAAGAATTCGCAAGCAAGCGGAAGCAAGCAACCAGAAGCGAGCAATAACAAGCAAGCAAGAGCCAGCGACCAAGTGCAAGCAAGCAAGGGCAAGCAAGACAAAGCAAACGATAGCAAGCACGCAAGAGCAAGGAAACAAG